AGTTCATATAAAAACAAACAAACGGCTCCGAAATCTAACGAAAGGGGTTGTAGACCGAGTGGTCTTTCATTATTCGATCGTCCTCTACAAGAACAGTATCAGAAATTTAAGAAGTGGTTGTCCCACCAAACTCAAATATTAGATTTTACTTGATACATGCTGAAATCGGATCGGCGGGCCCTTGAGTGATTTTGTCACCTGCATGTCTATCAAATTCTTTTAGTTGATCGGATCCTACCACATTTCATCCAAGTCTATGTCAGATTCAATCAGATGAGGAAATTGAAAAACTACGAAAAACAGAAACTGCCATTACTCGAATTACTACTCAGTCACACAAAGCCGATAACATGATGATACATGAATTAAATTACTCACGATACAGGGTAACAGCTCAGAAAAAGCCGTCATAATTCAGCAATAATCCGTGATATTACTTGCACATGCCACAGTCTCAACCATTGTGATTCAACCATCAGTCCAAAACGAAATATTTAACTTCCGCCTTCACCCCTGGAAGCGTCTCAAACATTCCAATATGGAGTCAAACGAACCACAACCAGCCATTCGATAGGCATTTCCAAGCGTCGATTTCAGCTTTCCGTGGGTCTCAAAACCCTACAGCGACTCGTCTGATTCTCATTTTACCATAGGTCAATCATTCGACTGTGCAATTTTATCGGCAGCTTTTGACCATCCAGATGAATGTTTCTCAAAAGGATTAAGATTTCATCGGATAAAAAGCGTATTGTCCAATTGATGCCTCAGTCGCCAGTCATCAAAACCAATCGCATACACACTGATGAGGAGATTCGACCATGATTACTGACGATTCACTTTCATCGAACGTGTCAACTGCATTTCAATCGCAACTCTTCCATGGAAGTTCAATAAGTGAAGACGATACTACCTTCAAGATTGTGATTGTTATTTTAATAGACGCTAGCCATTTTTATAAACTAAAACTAAGATTTTTCATTTAAGAGAACAAAGCCATTGCATAGCTCTAGCTAAACGGAAAGCTTTTCTCGAATTTCAGATGTTTTATAAAACCACTCAGTCAATAAATCTGGCATCTAAAGAACAACTCAGTTTTGTGCTCAATTACAACAGCAATATTTAGATATACTTTAAAAAACTCACAATACGAATGTTTATTATGTTTATATTTCGCACCGAACCTTGATGGATTTCTTTCTATGCTTTTATCGCTTACTATTGAATCTAGCGATAAAACACATCAAATTGCAATTAAAGAAATTCAAAACAGACAAAGGTCTCATAAGATCGTCGAAAAAAAAAACACGCGTTCCACAACCAGCTTTTGAAGAACGTGTCGCAAAAATATGAAACTGAGCCATATTGACACTTTCTATCCCAGCCTCTCTTTCGTTGAGCTATCAGGGAGGGTGCTTCGGATATGCGTATCCGTCTGAAGAAGTGTAAATTTGGGTATGGCCGCACCATTAAATTTTCACAGGCAATCACTACTTACTTAGTCACATACTTACACTAATACAATCTGCAAAGCCACGCTGAGTCCCGCGTACCCAAAACTGACTCACCGTGACATATAGCTGCTACGTACACCTCATATATGCTCCCAGTCGGACACAAAATATTCAACAGACGATTCACAAGAGTCCTATTCGCATACTAATCGGCAACAAAGCCTACTGCGAAAATAAGCTTTCCACAAATCTATCGATACAAAACATACAGTGACATCGAAAAACCGACAAATGGCGAAAATTCAGAACGACACCGTTTACAAAATAAAAACTGCATACGGGAAGAACGGAGCGCAATAACCGAACAACCGCAAAGTCTCCAGAATCACAAAACAACCATAATACCTGATCGCCAACACCATCTACACTTTCAGAAAAACAAAGAGAGATTTCAACAACAAGACATCGCATAAAACGTCATCAATCATAACGTGACAACAGAATAATTTTCATCAACATTCTCTTCTACTATTTTACTTAATTGGAATTAATTATTTCAATGTGACCACATGATCAAACATCACGTGAAAAAAAAAATCTTTTCATGAAAACTCTCTTCTACTATTTCACTCAATTGGAATCGATTATTTCAATCTGAGAACATGATCCAATATCATCTGAAAAAAGAATAATTTTCATCAAAATTCTCTTCTACTATTCGATTCAAATCGAATTCATTATTTCAATGTGGCAACATGATCCAACATCATGTGCAAAAAGAATAACTTTCATTAAAATTCTCTTCTACTATTTTACTCAATTGGAATCCATTATTTCAATATGACAACATGATCAAACATCACTGAAAAAAGAAATCGTTTCACGAAAATTCTCTTCTACTATTTGACTCAAGTGGGATCCATTATTTCAATCTGAGAACATGATCCAGCATCAAGTGCAAAAAGAATAATTTGGAAGAAAATTCTCTTCTACTATTTCATTCAATTGAAATCCATTATGTCAATGTGACAACACGATACAAGATCACGTGAAAAAAAAATAATTTTCATCAAAATTTTCTTCTACTATTTTACTCCATTGGAATCCATTATTTCAATGTGGCAACATGGTCCAGCAACATGTGCAAAAAGAACAATTATTACGAAAACTCTCTTCTACTGTTTCACTGAATTGGAATTCAGTATTTTAATCTAACAACATGATGCAAGATCACGTGAAAAAAAAATAATTTTCATAAAAATTCTCTTCTGCTATTTCACTCAATTGAAATCGATTATTTCAATCTGAGAATATGATCCAATATCATGTGCAAAAAGATTAATTTTGAAGAAAATTCTCTTCTACTGTTTCACTCAATTTGAATACATTATTTCAATGTGTCAACAGGATGTAACATCACATGAAGAAAAAATAATTTTCATCAATATTCTCTTGTACTATTTTACTCAATTGGAATCCATTATTTCAATGTAGCAACAGGATCCAACATCACGTGAAAAAAGAACAGTTATTACGAAAATTCTCTTCTGCTGTTTCATTCAACTGGAATCCATAATCTCAATCTGACAACATGATGCAATATCACGTGAAAAAAGATTAATTTTGAAAAAAATTCTGTTCTACTATTTGACTCAATTGGAATCGATTATTTCAATCTGACAACATGACCCAAGATCGCGTGAAAAAAGATTAATTTTGAAGAAAATTCTCTTCTACTATTTGACTTAGTTGGAATCTATTATCTCAATCGGATAACATGGTCCAATATCACGTAACAAAAGATTAATTTTGAAGAAGATTTCCTTCTACTATTTCACTCAATTGGAATTCATTACTTGAATCTGACAATATGATCTAACAACGCGTGAAAAAAGATTAATTTTGAGCAAAATTCTCTTCTACTATTTGACTTAATTGGAATCCATTATTTCAATATGACAACAAGAGCCAACATCAGGTAAGAAAAGAATAGTTTTGATTAAAATTCTTCTCTACTATTTGGTTCAAGTGGAATCCATTATTTTGAATCTGACAACATGATCTAACATCAAGTGAAAAAGGATTAATTTTGAAAAAGATTCTCTTGTACTATTTGACTCAAATAGAATCTATTATTTGAACCTCAAATCATGAGCCAACATCATGTGTAAAAAGAATTATTTGCATCAAAATTCTCTTCTACTATTTAACTCAATTGGAAGCCATTATTTCGATGTGACAACATGATCCAACATGATGTGAAAAAAGAATCATTTTCATCAAAACTCTCTTCTAGTATTTGACTGAGTTGGAATTCATTATTTCAACGTGACAACATGATTCTGCATCAGGTGAAGAGAAAATAATTATTACGAACATTCTCGTCTACTATTTGACTCAATTAGAATTCATTACTTCAATCTAACAACATGATCTAGCATCAGGTGAAAAAAGAATAATTTTAAAAAGAATTCTGTTCTACTATTTCACTCGGTGAGAATTCATTATTTCGTTGTGACAACATGATGCAGCGTCGCATGAAATGAGAAAATGTGTATTAGAATTAAGTTCTAGTATATGATTGGTTGATGAAGTCTGTTTGATATAGTAGAAAAATCCCCGGTGATACGGTTGTTGACGAAATAGTAACATGGTGCCCGTCGTGTTTTATTATCAGTCTTGGGGTATGCTGTGTCTTGAGTTTTAGTGAATTGTTTATGTGGTTTTTGAACTCTTATAATGATAGACAAGTTCAGTTATAGTGAGGAAGATTTTGGTTGCTTTGGGGAAAGCAGTAGGAAATTCTTTTTTTGTATCAAATGAATAACTCTAATCATGATTTTTTTCTAATACTTCACTCATCTCACAGGGAAAACATTTCGATCGTAATGATCATGGGAGATTATGTGTAGCAAGAATATTTCAAATTACGAATCTATTCAACTAATACTCTCATATAAAATCAATGTTTTCGATTATTGAAATGATGACAGCAGCTTTGGTAGATGAATATGTTAAACGAAGACTTTGTGTCACTATTTTAATCATGCTCAAGTGATATTTTTGATATGTCAATAAAAACGAAGAATGTATGGCAAACAAATGGCTACAACCACAGTTTTATACGAGCATTTTGTACATCAAATACAAAACTTTCATTAAGAGAACATAGTGAAATTTGGTAAAGTATTCGAATGCTCATTACAATAATTTGATTCGACTGATTTGTCCATTACTAAGTAGTAGTTTTGATATCACAAGAGAATGCATAATCATGTGAAAATTGAATAATTGTAATGAGAGTTCTATTCAGTTATATTATTTTACATAAAAGATATTGCTAACTTTGTTATATGATCAAAAACAATGACAGAAAGACGAATAATACAAGGATAGTTATGTGTCCTTACTTTGTGCCTTGCGAAATGAAGTAAAAGATTTACTAAAGAAAAGTCTAGTTTTATGACAAAAGAATAACTATAACAAGAATCTTGTTTGATTATTTTGCGCGATTGAAAATAACTCACCTAGTCCAGACATAATATAAGATTATTTGACAAATACATAGTTGTAAGCAGGCATATTGCTCGATGGATCTGTTTCCGATGAGTCTAAAAGAGTATTCAGTTAAGTAACTTAAAAATATTGATTATCACCATCATTCTATTGGTATATTTTGCAATATACAACGTAATGATATAAAAGTTAAGTAACGACACATTAATGAGGCAATGGAATTTTCTTACACGTGATTGGAAGAGATAAATTAAGAAAATATTTGTATGACAGTCTCAAGTGACTGGCTTAGACTAAATGTAAAACTCATAACAATAAATGTAGACTAAACTATTATAAATTTTCACACAAATACAAAAGTTATGAAAATTATTCTCAATTTCTTTCGAAAATAGGTTCTATCTCTCTTTTGTCAACGTATATCGGCTCAAAAATTACCTAAAATAAGAAGAGTAGTGTTTTTAGTCCAAGACTCACCAGAAGATGATTTGCTGTTTTTCGGTTGTACTGCCGAAGCCGAAGTAGCTGCTGCTGTTGATTGTTGTGTGCCTTAAAAAAGAGTCATCTATACATTGCATATACAGTTGGATCTTACAGATGCCTCTATAGATATTAAAAATAAAAGATTATCTCAATAGTTCGGGAAGAAATTAGAAAGATTGTATATCATTTGGTAGTTTAAGATTTAAAATTGTAAAAACTATAGTAACTAAACTAGCAACGATTTTATTAGTATTTTAATTAATTTGTGTAACGTTTCGCTGTTACAAAGAACAGTCCCATACTCAAAATCAGTAAAAAAAATTCTTAGGGGAAAAGAAATTCTTTCGTTCTTTTTAATCAGTCTAATGCAAATAAGTTATCTTTTCCCCTCTTGTGTTAAAATGTTTAAAAAGAACGAAAGAATTTCTTTTCTAAAAATTTTCTTTTATTAATTTTATGTCTCAGGATGTTCTTTGCAAGAACAAGACATTACACAAATTAATTAAAATATTAATAAAATGATACATAGTCTAGTTAGTATAGTTAGAAAAAATATCTTCGGAACATATTGGGATGTGGGTGTGGATATGAGAGTAACTATCCTCGAAGAAAATGTCGCGGAAGCATCTGTCATAGAATTATACTTACTAGATGATGATTGTTTCTTTGTTGCTTGTGGCGTTGAAATTGAAGCAGATGCCGATGCCGAATGTTCATTCTCTGAAAGAAAGAAAAATTCATAGTAAAAATTCGTAAGACATGCTCGATATAGAATTATTTCGATCTATACTCGTGCAGTAAAAATGTGTGAATGAAGCAATAAATTTTGTACTTACTGGAAGCACTTTTGTTTTCTGATTTTGATGATAAGTTCAGAGAGGCCATAGCGTTTGGCAATTGTGCTTCATGACCATCATATACTTCAGCCAAGTGAACAACATGTAAACCTCCTTTATGATGCAAAGCATTGTCTTTCACACGTAATTGAGTTCCTGGTCGCAATAAAACTTCTTGTTCATTAGGGTAATTTGTGTAGCCATTGATATTTTTGGCATTTTTAGCTTCGATCATGAATAGAGTGGCGTTCTCTTCCGATCCCAGAAAATCTTGTACGACTTTCAAAGATACGGAACAAGAACTTATACTCCACCATGTTAATTTATCTCCTTCTTTAAATTGTTGACTAATATCTCCAGCTACACCTCGCCAAATACATTCTTGGATGGTCGGCAGTTTGGAGAGAGCTGTATCGAATAATTTCAGGTATCCAAACCATGGTACGACCTCACGACGATTTTCAGAGCGTAGTATGTTGTTCAATACGCGATACAAGCTGTTATCACCGCCTTCCATGGTGTACAAAAATACGGCAGCCGATTCATCCCGTGTCAGCTCGTCTTTTAATGAATGACAGCAATATTCTTTGGCTTCTTTAATCGATCGATGTAACTGATCGAAAAGGGACATAACAGGTTGCAAAGCTTGTTCAAGAGGGAGGAGAGAATGTTGCCAGAAGGCACCAATCGGTGGGAGTTTTTTGTTGCCGACCTCAACGTCTAAGAATCGACTCATCTTTGCAGCAAGATTCTATTCTGACAAGATATTTCTCGAAGCATGGCATCAACAAATCCAAAGCAACTTACGTATCTGGCGTTTATTGAGGTACGATTTACATCGAAGAAATAAGAAATATTTCTGTGCTGAAACCTTCCATTTCTACTTTGAAATACAAAAATAAAACCGAAAAGAATTATTTTTCTTTCTGCTAACGAAACATTCGAGTCACAGAATAACAATGTTGATGCAAAAGCGAGAATGGCAACATAGAAGCTAGGTAAACAGTGTTGATTACTCTCTTTCAAATTTTCAAGGTTGGCAATGCTTATTCTTTCAACCGTTTTTTTGTTATTGGTTGTGTGCGTAAAGAAAATGCCATCATATTTTACTGCGCAGAACGCGAAAGCAAACGACACATCGCCAACACAGCCATAACACAAACAGGAATACTTAGTAATGTTTCAAACATTGAAACTATGTGGAAGAATTTTTGTATTTGATCAACATCATGAATGATTCACCCATTCATCTTGAAATTTATGGATTAAAAAGGCCATTAATACATGGCTAGGATGTGGATGTGAGCGTTGGTCTTCGCTTCTACCACATCCATACCCATCGACATCTTCGGAGACGGAGCAATGAAAAAAAAACTTCTTTTGTCAACCGATAGCTCATGAAGTTGACTACAAAAAGTGTTTTTTAAGTTTTTGAACTTTATGCTTCCCTCATTTTCTGCAATTGTTCTACGAATGGGTAAAAACTGACCTACAGGAGGTAACGGGTTAATAATAAAAAGCATATTGCTGTTGAAGATAATGAATCTATTAGGAAAAATCCAATTAACGTTAAGCCAATTGAAATAGAACCATGTATGAGTATTAAAGAAGCTAAAATACGACTTCTACAACAGATGCGAGTCATGCCAAGCTGGTTTTGATAAAGGTAAAGCAAAAGACATTGAAGCTGGATGGAGCGCCTTAAGTTATTTGATCTTTCAATTTTTCAAAACGCCTATATGAAAGCACTTTTTATCATTTTTTAAAGTCGGACATCAGTAAACGAAGATATACTCGAAGCCCTAACAGAACTAAGTCCTATTTCGTAGTTCATCGAAATACAAGCACAATGTTGACAAATTGTGTGCTCACTGCCAGTCGTACTGATTGTTCAGTACTGGAGTGTTCTCGATTGTGGCTTATCTGCATTTCTTCTTAAATTTCAAAATGCAATGTTTTTTAGTCAACCGCATGGCTAAGATCTCACGAAAGGTCCGTATCTCTTAGATACAATTTTCGTCATCAAACTCTTGCTTTATAATAGATGGTACAATCCAAACTATTCTCTATCAAATGTTAAGTGCTTTGGGATCGAATGAAATATCCTATGAACGATATTACAATGCTTTATACCGATTTTTTGTAAATATTCATTTCAAAGACGTTAAGATATTATCTATACCTTGAAAATATTTTTAATGGTGTTCCATGAAATTTCAAAAATCATATAAAAATTCAACGCAATCTTTAGACATCGACTCAAATCAATATAGAAACCGTTTGAAGTTCTTCGAACCTTAATTGAGAAAAATAAATTTTATCATATCAACATTTGATTCGATCGAAATGAATTTGTCTAAAATGATTTTGTGTTGAAAAAGACAAACATTTGTGTTCAATAAAGCGATATTTTAGTTTATCTCTGTTACTTGATCAAATGATAATGATTGAATGTCGTTTTATTTGAATATCTAGTTGAATGAATAAGAATAGTTTTTTCAATGATGGGCATTTCTATTTAACGATTCTTCAGTGATGCTCAATTCAATCGATTCATTTTATTTCAAATCATCATTTGAAAATTTTCTTTTATCCTGTGCTTATCTTAATCAAGAAAATCAGATTAATGAATAAATGTTCAGCTAACATAAGTCTCAACGAGCAACAATTGTTGTGTTTAAAAGAACGACTTTGATAAGTGAAGAGAAACAAATGAGTTCAATGGACACTAACAAAAAATTGAAGAACATTAACTCTATCAGAATGATCGATAAAACACAAATTAATTATAAAAAATACAAGTCAATATGATCAATGTTTCAAAATGAGATCGAATTTCGATAGATTTCTGAAAAGATTTACTTTTTTTCAAAGATCAATCAATGTTTTCATTGGGAACTCAATTGAATATATGAGTTCGAATAGTATCACAATGTCGAAGATTTTCTTTGTTGCTAGATAATCAATCATTGGAGAAAATGTCATATTGAATCATTCGTTACTTCGACTTAGCGAGGCTTGTTGGAAGAGAGCAAAAATCTTGTTCAATTGAGTTTCTACCGCATAAAATGTACAGCATCTTTCTTTTCCTGTCATTCCTTCGTATCAATATTAACAATGATTTGATTTCTTTGTTGTGATGTTCTCATGCAGATAGCCCCACCAATAAAAAAAGCAGGATTTGGATTTTCCACTTATTACTCTTTGATCCTAATTTAAAAAGTCGAAAAAATTGAAAAACTCAAATGAAACTCGAAAGTCAAAAATCTTTTTTCTTCCCTCTTTGACATAGACCGAGACAGATATGTCGACAAGTTCTTTTCATGCCAGCAAAAATCTTGACTGAACGTAATGTTTCACAATGAAAGAGATATTCCTAAAACGTCCTCGTGCACCATACAAAAACAAAAGTTCGATTTTGTTTTCCATTTTAATCCCAGAAGGATTTGACTGAAAGCTTTTTACTTAATCTCTTATGTTTCAGATGGTTTTTTGAAGGAACTCATTACTTGTTGGCATGTGTCGAATATTTTCGAAATTCATTCATTGGATGATATGCATCGTATATAGGTTATTTATTAAGGTAAACTTTACCGTAAGAAAAATATTAGAAAAAAAAGAAATTTCAAAACATTGTTCAAAAATAAGATTTCAACTTATAGAACAATAAAAAGTGTGATTATTCGCTCTATGTTCAAAAAGTTTATTCAAGATCAAATAATAAAAACTCGACGTTTATTTCTTCAATACTTTCAATCAGTAGTTCGGTAGTGGCTTGTTAGCAGTTGATAAATGCTCCATCACCTTCTTCCAAGATAATATCTTGTTCCATTCGAATCTTAGCATCGCTCTTCTCATTGTTTTTATAAGGTGTTACATATACACTGCGCATGATCAAATGAATATATTCTTTTGTTCTCGCAAAGGTATATTTTACGAATTTGCTTGGCTCTAAAATACTCTCAAACATTGACATTGGTGCATAAATTGCAATAGAAGCGTTATTAGAATTTTTAATATTGTCGATTAATAGACAAAAATTGTTCAATTTCTCTTCATCTGACCATTTTTTGTCAAATATGATGGTTATAGTTTTGATTTATTTCATTTGGCCCAGTGTTTTATCTAGGTTTTTCACTCCGAGGAGGCAAACTCAGCTGTCGGGAGGGCAGACAAAAAATTTCTTAAGGAATGAACTATCAAGAGTGTTTTCGAGTCTATTATACTGACGCTTGCAAAAGACAACGATACGCAAAATATTAATTCGAATTTGATTGAAATTAAGGACGAAGGATGGT